AATATTGGGTGTAACCGTATCCACTTGCGTTTTCTTCCTCTTGCCAAAGTCTTTCCAAGGTACTAGCACAAGGTTTTAATGATGATCATGGGATATGAAAGTCCCTCCTGTATGAGGAGTGCCAGCTGCTTTAGAAGGACACTTGGGTCTTGTATACTTCACTTTGGGCGCTGTGAGATCCACACTGGATTTATGCCCCAAGTTCTTAAGTATCCACATCTATAAGTATTCTAGTATTTACAGCAATATTTTGTCTGACACAAGAGAAATATACTGTTGGTAAAACATGTTCCTTATTTTCCAAGAAACAACATCTTATGGCTGATCTCAGAGATGTGACCTTAAAGTATCCCGGTAGCTTGGTCTCATGAGTCTTCTCTGTCATAGGGGTCTATGTTTGCTTGCCCGGTGAGCATCCCAAGAGCCTAGGTTCACATGGCTCAGTTTTTTTGTTTGTTTGTTTTTGATTTATTTTTTTGGCTGTGTATCTGAGCGCTATGCCCGTGGTGAGGGTATCGTGTCCATTTTGCACTTGAGGTTGGTCCCCTGCCACTGGCCTTCACTCTGCACCTTTGTAAAGCACTTGTAACAATCTGTAAAATAATCTGTTGTTTTTTATAACTCATTGCAATTGCAAAAATTCTTGTTTAAATCTGTATTTTTAACTAATCTGTTTGAGAAATGTTAATGTTTATATAAAAGAATAAAGCCTAATACAGGATTTTGACATTCTCTGATGTGCTGTCATTACACTGGAGGAGGGTGGAGTAAGTTCTTGATGTAACAAGCTCAAAGCTGATGTGAAAGTGAGTACATAGGTTGGGGAGACGCAAGAACTGCTGAAAAAGAAATAGCAGTGCAACCCCAGGCAGTTTCTTTAGGCCTCCAGTATGAGATTTTTATCTTGCTATGCACCTTGCTGTGTGCCAGAGCTGGCAAATAGAAGAAGTGGATTAAGTGCATGTCATGGAGATTATGAATTATCCATACATGCCTCAGCTTGATTTGTACAGCTATATTCAGAAAGTAACACTTCTATTTCATGTGCTTTACTCCATTTTCTGCATGTTGTGGCTCAGCAGAATTGAAAAAGGAGTCTGGTGTGCCCCTGGCTGTCAAGTCAATTCCAGCAGGATCCTAGCTGATACCTGGTATGAATCCATCAGAGATGATCAGCATAGGAGAAGCAACAGGAATAACTGCCGATGTGCATTACCTCGAAGAGAACGGTGGGACTGGGAAGCAGAGCGCTGTCCAGCATTAGCTGCTTCCTACGCAGTGGACGATTCCCTGCCAGAATGGGAAAGGAAAGTAACTGTCAATTCAGCAAGGCTGCACACCACAGGCTGTTCTGCTCAACTCTCTGAGTTCCTTTACTTTAGAGTATAAAACTTAAATTGGAAACTACTCAACCAGAGGAAAAGGGAATAGGAATAGGTTTATAGGAGACTGCAGCTGGGTGTGAGGTGGGGAATAATGGGCGGAGCTCAAGCCAGGCCTGGGTGGATTAGAGGATGTCTGGGCCCTACCCCAAGGATTTACTAAAGAATGAGGCCGTCAACAGTCAGAACCGGCAGTGGCAATGAAGCTGCAGTTGCATTTTCAGTTTAATTCATTTAATTTTCCTTATTTTGAGCTGCATCTCATTTTTATGAATTTGAAGAGAAAAACTGCTTGTTAATTCTAGGGATCTTCAAGGTACAACCCATAACGTTGCTGTTGATGGCAGTGGTGAAAAATGTGATTTTCCTTGGCTCTGGCTTCTCCATCCCTTTTCATTGAGTAATCAAATATAAGCTTGTTGTTTACACAGTCACATTCTTTTTTTTCTTTTTTTTTTTTTAAGTGCAGTATCAGTACAGAATTAGTTATTAGTTTTATAGCAGCTTCCTAGGTTAGCCCAGGGAGCTCAAGCAAGCAGGTGTGGGGGAAGAACTTTCCTTGAGATTGGTGGCTCTTTGTACTTTCGCATTTGCAAAACGCTGCCTAGAATTAAGACTCAGTTCTGCTGCTCTAAGTCTGTGTACCCTGTATTGTTTCAAATTAATTTGCTAACTTGACCCCTGGAGAAATCATGGGCTGCTTGAACTACAATCTCGGGCGGCGCTCCCTGTTGGCAGTGCCCTTATGCAATAGCTGTGTTTGCTCACAATCAATTCAGATCAACAGGAGGAGGAAGATGACATGAAATCCCAATTGCCCTACAATGGGCAGAGTATAGGCGTGAAATATCAAACCAAGTATTTCACCATTTTGCACCCTTTTTTTAAAAAAAAACCCAACAAAACAAAACAACAAACCATTGGGATAGTTGTGGTAGTTCTGGTTGCATTTTGGTCTTATTTTAGTAATTTTGGTTTTGTTAATAAATGGATTTGGTTGTGCAGTGTACTGGCTTATAGGAGCTTGGAAGGAATTAAAAAGAGCTGTATCTCAAGCTTTTAATAACCAAATTCTCTTGCAATCTTATGAAGCCAGTAGCGAATCAGCGAGTAAGGAGCTCAGTACACGCAGGGTGAAAGTAGGCAGCACTATCTCCTCGTTGTGAGGCTGTCTTGCCTCGCCTCGCCCAGGCGGCTCTCGCTGGCCTTGCTCGCCCGCAGCCCGCTCTGCTGTGAGGCTTCGCCACCTGCTTGCCCGGACGAGGTCTGAAAGCAGAAATTCGACGCTTCGTGTGGCAGAAATGTTGGAACCAGAGAATCCAGGCTCTCTGCATCCAGCCCCGGGGCTGAACGCAGCCTGCTCTGGAGAGGTGACTCCGCGCAGCTTTTTTCCCTCCCTGCCATCTTGCTTTCAGCTTGGTCGTTTGCCCCTCACTGTCCCCGGGTAACAACCGAGCGTGATGGCGCTGCGGGCCGGGGCAGGACCGGACACCGGGGCGGTGGCATCGCCCGAAGCTCCGCGTTGCGGCTTC